ACTTCACCGCTTACCAGTTAGACGGTCCCGCCAGGCAGTGGTGGCGTACATACTTAGAGACCAGGCCAGCTGGGTCTCCACCGGTCACATGGACTGAGTTTTCAGTGGCCTTCTTGGCCCGATTTATTCCCAAGAGCATCAGAGATCAGCTCAGATATCAGTTTGCTCGGTTAGAGAAGGTCTCCATGACAGTATCAGAGTATGAGGCCCGATTCCACGATCTCTCCAGGTATGCTGCCATGATATTAGCTACTGAGGAGGAGAGGGTTCGTTGTTTTGTTCGGGGTTTGAGACTACTGTTGCGGATTGAGACTCAGTCTTTAGTCTCGCCGGGCCGCTCATTTCTAGATGTAGTGGACCATGTCAGCACTATTGAGCAGCTCCGTCGCGAGGCCCAAGGGGCATCGACAAGAGAGCTAGACAAGAGGATAGTCAAGATAGGCGCCGTTTCAGACCCCGAGAGTCTTATAGATCTCAGCAGAGCTTTCAGTCGGGTCAGTCTAGTCACCCCTTCCAGTCCTCTCTCCAGGCATCGGAGGGTGATCGGCACCGCCATATTGGTTTTCGTACCGGTACTAGTCGGGGCCGAGATAGTTCTCAGATGGGGTCTTCTGGCCGGGGTAGCCGACCTCCAGCTCTTAGTCGATAGTCCCAGGGGTGCTATGAGTGTGGGGAGTTAGATCATTGGGCCCGCAAGTGTCCCCATCGCAGGTTAGCATTACCCGCTCCACAGGCAGCTAGGCATACTCCAGCGCCAGCACCTCCAGCTAAAGGCGGAGGCCCGGGACAGGACCGCAAGGGTTGTCACTAGGGTATACGGGGTGGTCCCCGAGGAGGCAGGTTAGGGGGCAGAGCCGATGAACGGCCGCTATGAGTTCCTAGTGATGTCTTTTGGGTTGACTAAAGCCCCTGCCGCATTCATGGACTTGATGACTAGGTTGTTTAGGCTGTACTTGGATTCGTTTGTCATAGTCTTCATAGATGACATTGTAGTATACTCGCGGAGCTGGGAGGAGCATTAGCAGCATTTGAGGATAGTGCTCCAGACTTTGAGAGGCCAGCGACTTTATGCCAAGTTCTCAAAGTGCGAGTTTTGGCTTGAGTCCATAGCATTCTTGGGGCACGTGGTATCTATGGACGGCATTATGGTAGATCCCGCTAAGATTGAGGCCATTCGTGATTGGGCCAGGCCCACCTCTGTGACTGAGATTCGTAGCTTCGTCGGATTGGAAGGCTACTATAGGCGTTTTGTTGAGGGATTTTCTACTATAGCAGCGCCTTTGACTCGGATGACTCGCCAGGATGTTCCGTTTGTGTGGTCGGAGGAATGTGAGAGGAGCTTTCTGAGGCATAAGGAGTTGCTTACCACCGCTCATATATTGACTCTTCCAGTTGAGGGCGAGGG